CTAGTAAATAATAGCCCAAGGTAAAACAAATTAAAAATCCGGTAAACACTTTATAATAACTACACCTTATTTAGGCTTAATAAATGTTGAAATAACACTTAATTTAACATGAACAATTCATTAATTGTGATTAACACTTCATAACTACTACAGTTAATAAATGCTTAACTCATAATGAATACATCTTCAAGTACTTCACTTGTTCATGATTATTCAATAGGTTAATAATTATGAAGTAACCATTTGTTACTACATATATAGATGGTTTGTTACACCACATGTCAATGATTAATAATTGTATACTTGATTATAAACAAATACTGCAGTGCATGATTTATTCAGCCAGTTACTAACAGTTTGTTAAGAGTTTTGTGAGCTTTTGTAAAGTGTACAATATTTAGACTTTTACACATTTGTTATAGACCCTTTAGTATGACAATTAATCATTCATTATTACTGCAGTGCATGACTTATTAGTCAGTTACTAACAACTTCTTTAGGGTATTTGTGAGAAAAAAACACAAGGATGACCAACATTTTTGCAAAACAATAATAAGCCATGAGACATGAGTACAGAATATATATTTATCTTTTAAATTGCTTTACAAAGCTATAACGGGCCCATAACAATGAAATAAAAAGAAATAGAAGGCCTCCATATCGCCCCCATGAATGAAATATACATGTAAACAAGAACAGCTCTAGTGTGGAGCGTCCTCTTCCAACAGATGAACATACAAAGTCATATACCATCAAACTTACAAGTAGAAGTCTTTAATATCTTGCCTTGAAAGGCAGCAGCTTTCCTGAGGCCTTAAAACTTCTGACCATTTCCTCAACCTCTGCATCTTCTGAAATGGCATGTGCACACTGATTAGCAAAGACTGACAGCTTTGTGGTACTGGTGTCATTTTTCAGAAGCTCCTTGAATTTTGCTGGCGCCACAATGGACAGCTCAACAATTGGAGTTGTGATTACAATGTTTCTATCCACACTTAATTTTTTAAAGGCCGCTGACATGGTTCCACCTCTTTTGAAAGGCTTCAGAACATTTTCATATCTTCTCACGACTTGCTTTGGCCTTTGAGCTGGAAATAAATAAAAGTGAAACAATAAAAGAGAGAATTCAAAGTAATAATAGAAACAATAATGAGGCAGGTCCGGCTGCAAACCCCCTCGTGATTCACTTTTACTGTGTTCATTTGTTTGGTCTTTATTTGAGCATCTTTGTTTCACAAGGTGGACATTGAGGAAACAGATCAGCATGGCAAGTAAAGCGAGAGAAAAGAAACATTACATAAAATAAATAAATGTACAAATGAGAAAGATACCCAAAAGGAGTAGGCAGAAGCAAAGTTTAGAACAGCCTGCTCCTTTGACGTTCACGGTTGAGCAGTCAAATTACTGTGCATTTATTTGCTATATCCAAATGTGAATGGTCAGTGCTTTATTTTTGTTTACATTTCTGCGTGCGCGTCCAAGCCCGAACACACAACGTGTGCGTGTGCCTGGTTATGAATGTATCTCTAGGTAACGTGTGTATCATCCATGTCAACCCGTCCTGTCCTGGACTGTCCTGGGTGGTTTACAACTCACTTTGTGCATATTGAAAAAATATTCTCTGCTTATAGCCTCGTTTAAAACTTTCTAAGGAAGTGCAATTTTTAAGTTCGATATCAAGATTGTTCCATAGGTCAACCCCACATCTTAACAAACCTTTGTTTCATTGTGGTACGAACATACTGCTTTGTGAAATTAGTTTTGTGTCTGAGATTGTAGTAGTAGTAGTAATCTTTATTTATATACCGCCTTTTCACTGCACATTGGAGTCTCAAAGCGGTTTACAATTGTTATTTTTGGGAGTGGGGGTGCGAGTACAGGAGGCACATGCCAGACCTATTGTACATATTTTTAGTGGTAGGGGAAACCGGAGCACCCGGAGGAAACCTACGCAGACACGGGGAGAACATGCAAACTCCACTCAGAAAGGCCCTGGTCCAACCGGGATTCGAACCCAGGACCTTCTTGCTGAGAGGCGAGAGTGCTATCCACTCAGCCACCGTGCCGCCCATGTACATGGTCTTTATCACTAAACATTTGTTGGATTATATTTGGGAGCATGATATTTGCTTTATTCATTATTAGAGTTTTGAGTTTTATTAAGTCCTCAAGTTTCAGGACCTTTGATGTCAAGAACAGTAGCTTCGTATTTTCTCCAACCAGCATTGTGAATAATACCTTTTCTGTTGCATGAAGAGACACCGCTTATCTGTTCTGTATTTGTATTATTTAGATGTGTGTGATTCCCATGTCATCTTATGGTCGAGGTGAACACCTAAAAAGTGTGCTTGTTAACTATTTATATAGGTTAATTTTTATTACAGCATTTGTGGATTCTTTTTACACCCAAATATCATTTGTTTTTTTAAGGTTTAGTGAAAGCTTGTTTTCATTAAACCAATTTGTCATTTTATCCAATTCAGTGGAAGCCTCGACCAGTAACTGTGGAAGGTCTTTGCCCTTCTTGTTTCCAAATATGTTAAAGTTCTATACGACAGGAGGGATGCACTGTTACGATACTGGTATTGGAGCCAATAATGTTAAAATTACAATACAAAAAAGCTGGATCGGTGCATTTCATCTCATAACAAAAAAGGGTTACCAAAAATCCAAACAAAACTCAGGACCGTACACAGACAAAGACTGTACAATGGACCAGCAACAAAGGGAGATGAACACAGGGTACATATAGACAGAGACACGAGTGAAACACATCAGGGCGGGGCAGACAATCAACACAAGGGGACAAGACAGGAAGTCAAACTAAAACCAAAGCACAGAACTGATTACAAAATAAATCCCAAGTACAAAATAACAAAAACAGAATTGAGTTCATAAATGGATTACACTATAGAAGGGGCACCAGATGGAATTCACCTGAACAACATTAATCATGATGAAATGTATTATTTATTGATTTGAATTAATTAATTCATTATTCTATTTAATCAATAAATAAAATGATAACACCAAGGCTGATTAACACATTCAAGTTATGTGTTTTTTAAAATGAGGACCCCAAAGCAGAGATGAGAGCAGGCTGACGAAAAACAAAGATTTATTTACAGTCCAAAAACAAAAAGTAAAAATACAAAACTGCAGGCAGGCTGATGTGACAGGCTGGCTGGAAAACATGGAGGTGCGCAGCAACCACGGATCTGGGAAAAATAACCTTATCAGAAAAAATAAAAATCATCATAGAAACAAGAGCAGGAGGACAATACCATATGTGACGGAATTATCTGGCACTGAAGAGCAGTCCAAACTGAGCTTAAGAAGGTGTGTCTGCTGCACCATCCAGCCACACCCATCACCACAAGCTCTCCAGAGAAACAAAAAGGGAGGGGGGAGAAACAGCAACACAACCCTCACACTTGGTCCAATTACAGCCTGAAATCTTGATTGAGTTTGTTCTCATAAAAGGCATTGACACGTAATTGAAACAAAAGGAACTTCGGGGTAATTTTCCAGGGCCAGCCCCGTCAGTGCGTGTCTCCACTGCAGGAGACCAACGGGGGCCAACGAAGTCCCTCCTCCATGCTAGGTACTCCGTTGGGCCCTGAACAGCTCCTGGTGGTCCTTGAGGTTAAACCGGGACTGATTGGCTAAAGCTAGAGCAGGCTCTGACGCCAGCAGAAAGCACCAAAACAACTAGCATTTTAGAAATCCAGAAGTATTAGCCTAGCAGCATTAGCCTAGCAGACACCACTGGAAACAACAATAGCAAGATGTATGATAAATGGATGGACGATGAGGTGCATGGATTCAGACGGGGTTGAGGCATTGTGGCCAAATGAAAAGATATATAAAGACATATGAGCTTCACCTTGAAGCACTGGGGATTCATTGCACTCTACAACTAAAGCAGGACTATAAAAAACACAAAGACCACAACAACCGGAGCGGTTACGACCGTGAAATAAACAAATGGGTTTGGCGTAATGAGTTTCGCTTATGCAGCAATCAAACTGAGAGGACCGAGGGAGAGGAAGGTTCCTGTAAAAGTTCCACCCCACTCCTTTTACCAGGAACTCCTGCGGCTCAGTTCAACATTGTGTTCTAAGTTAGTAAACTGGTTTTCACTGGTGCGCATCAATACAATTTACAATACAATACAATACAATTTATTCTTGTATAGCCCAAAATCACAACAGCAGTCATCTCAGAGGACTTAACAAAACCATTGAAATCACCAACACAGATCAGAGAATCAACAGTTAAAACACATAAAGAATATAGAACACATGTTGATAAATGTCCATACATGTTGTAGAATGTTAAAGTGTCCTGGATCATCACCACAGTCCTTCTTGTTAGACACAAACTGTCCAACAGACCCTCCTACATCGGCAAGGAAAAACTCAAAAAGAAAAATAGTGGGAAAATATTGAGAAACCTCAGGGAGAGCCACATTTTAAGAGGGATCCGCTCCACACGGACGGACGGGCTATCGATCCAGGACCTAAGCTACAGAACATGGACCAGGGCCATGCAGCGGCCGCAGAGCGTGGACAGGTCCGGTGCAGGACTGAACGAGACTCCCAGGCGGGTCGGGTAGGGCAGTCCATAGGTGTAGATTGAGGCCAGGTTCAGAGGTCCCGTCGTCGCACCATGAAACAGACAATGGGACAACGGGTGAATAGCAATGAACAGACTACAGTCAAAATCCTAATAATGCAGACAGATAAAGTAGGAAGGAGAGGATAGAGCTCAAGTTTCCATTCTTCTCCCAGAAGACTGACACCCTATGCAGCTTGACTGACAGTCTAAGATGTTTAGCCTTCCCTGAGTCTTACCTTCCTAACCGTATGCTAAACTGAAGAGGACTGTTTTAGCCTAGCTTAGAACGTAGGGTTGAAGATGCAGCGGACCGGGTCCCGTAAAAGCAGGCTCCAAGACCAGACAAGACCTGACCGGACAATCCTCTGCCTCTTCTGTGTTCATCGCAAACTGCTTCCGAGCGGTCTGTCCGAGAGGAGGGTCCTGAGACGTTGGAGTCGCGGTGACGAGTAGGTCGTTTGGTGGTGGCTCGCATTGGATGGCACCGTGTCCACATCTGTGTACTGAAGATTAGGATAAAATCCACTCGCGGAGATCCTGAGATCTATGCGTATGGTCCAATCAGAAAACGTTTTTTTCCGCTGCTACTCCAAGACCTCCATCCAGAAGTGTGACACGCTGTGGCTCACACCGTAAATTAATTAATCCAGGGATCACAAATCACAGGAATCGGCGTTTTTTCAAACTGTCAATCATTCTAAACTCATCTGGGACCCAAAGACAAAGCCCAAAGGAATTTTAGGCGGCCATATAAACATAAGAAGCGTTTTATTGAAATCAGATCAAAGTAGTTATTTGTTACTACCTTTGCTTATCGGAATCATGGCTACATAAGAATTCCCCTTCTGCAGCACTTATTATCCCAGGGAACAGGCTGTTCAGAGAAGACAGAGAAGGAGCCAAGGGCGGTGGAGTCATGATATACTTAAAACATTTCAAATGTGATGTTGTTCAATGGGTTGATGGGCTGGAATGCCTAGGTCTGAAGATAATACTGTCACCAGAAATGACATTTACGATTATTGTTATGTATCGCCCACCATCATCAGATGCAAGCTTCTATGATAAATTAGCAAAATTAACCCAAGCAAAGAGATAACAATTTTAGGAGATTTTTATATAAACTGGGAAGACACATAATGTAGGAAAAATCTTAAAATAATAATGGAAAATTTTGAATTTTCCCAAATGGTGAAAGGACCTACAAGAATAACCTCAATACGTAGACCTGAAAGAATTATTAAATCTTTAAATTTTGTATCTGGTCTGATTCTTGTGACCAGAAAATCAACGGAACAAGACATTGTACTTGTTTCAATGATTCTTGGACTCGTTTTGTGGAGCTCAACTGTATTTTCCACAGAATCTTGCGCAGTCTTTATAAAAGACGAGAGACAATACTGAGTCATGGATGAACGGTTGTTAATATGTAATTGCAAATGTTCAAATGTACGCAGATGACACAGTCATTTACATACACGCCAAAAACCCCTCACAAGCTGCCGACAAACTATCACAGTGTATGGTTCACATCACAAATTGGTTAATTCTGGAATATTCCCAAAGGCCCTGAAAACTGCAGTCATCAGGCCCCTGCTAAAAAAGAGCAGTCTGGATGCTACGGTACTGAACAACTATCGTCCCATCTTAAATCTGCCATTTATGGGGAAAGTCCCTGAAAAAGTTGTCTGTCAGAACTAAACATGGGGAGGCTGCATTTCAGATTTATGCTGCTACAAGTTGGAACAATCTTCCTGAAGATGTGAGACAAGCCTCATATCTGACAATGTTTAAAACCAGGCTAAAAACTTCGATTTAGCTGTGCATACAACTGAGGGATTTTATATTTCTATCTTTCTTTTTAATGTTATGTGATTATTTATTTATTATTATTTATTTATTTTAATGCCTTCTTATTTTGTTCAGCACTTTGAGTTACCTTATGCATGAATTGTGCTATACAAATAAACTTGCCTTACCTAAATCAATGCTGCCTAAAGCTCAATGTCAATAAAAACGGTTGGTATGTTCTTTTAAAAAAATCTGCTCAAAAAGTTCAAATCGTGACAGAATACAAATATCTTGGAGTAACAATAGACTCAAAACTGACATTCAAATCTCACATAAAAACATTTCCAATAAAGTCATGTTGGATCCAACATATCACTTCAGTCTGCAAGATTATTCATGTTTTCTATGGTTCTGTCCAACATTAAATACTGCATGGTCTTAGGAGAAACAAAACATCCCTAAAACCAATAGAATCATTACACAAGCAAACACTTAAGATACTGGACAAAAAACCACAAAGATTTCACCACTGTTCCATTTTGCAAAAACACCACCTTCTGAATTGGGCAAATTTCATCAAATGCTCTAATCTCTGTCTCATCTACAAGATCATTCATCTTCACCTCCACTCAACCAATTTATCACGGTCAGAAACACCACACAGGCCGTGGGGACTGTGTTATCTCACCTTCTCTGTGAGGGCGTCTCGGGAGTGGACCACAGTCCCATCAAATATCAGAGAGCTGGCCTCATACAATCTGTTCAAAACTCATCTCAAAACAGACATGTCATCACTAACTTTTAACTGATTGAATATATGGTAAATGTACACAGTCATTGATGTTTGTTTGCTGTTTAAAATTATCCATGGTGTTAGTGCACCTCCTCTAAGAAAATGTGTTTCATTGAGTGCAGACAAAATGACCAGAACCACTCGATCCACTTCTAGAGGAGAATGCAGCGTCAAAAAATGTAGAACAACTTTTGCTAAATCTGCTTTTTCTGTGACGACCATGAGTCAGTGGAACACACTGCCCACAGAGATCATTGCGTGTACTACATTTAAAACAATGTATTGGCTGACTAAGAAATGGCTTCTGAAAAAGCAAGTTTGCACGCACGAGTGAGTGAGTGAGTGAGTGAGTGAGGATAATATTCTAGTAGAAGTTGGGGAACTTTATTTATTGTTATTAAACTTAATGTTTTGTGAATTATGTTATTTAAAGTCTGTAAATGTAAGACACGGTCATGTATCCATCTACATTGTAATCAGTTTAAATGAACATAACACCAGCCTGCCCAGGGACTACAGGTGGATATTAGCATCTCTGCTATAACCTGGTACATGCATCTCTCCTTTTGTGTTAATGCTTAACTGTACAACTGTCCCTGTTCAAATAAAGTACATACAATACAATACAATTGTATATACTAAGTCTTTGTGTTTGCTTTTAGGTTGACATTTTAAATCTGTCCAGGGACAACGAATGAAAAAAAGCCTTGTGGCTTATTCTGGTACATTCACAGTAATGTTCATTAATGCACACTGTCCCTGTCAAATAAATTAATAAATCAATAAATTAATTAACAACCTAACCATATGCTAAATTGAAGAAGAGTGTTTTATGTCTGGCCTTGAATGTAGAGGCCGTGTCTGCTTCCTTAACGTGGATGGAAAGCTGATTCCACAGTAAAGAAGCTTGGTAGCTAAATGCTCTGCCACCGAGACCTTAGGAACCACCAGACGTCTGGAGTTTTGCGACCGCAGTGCTCGACTTGGTTGATAAGACATCAACATGTCTTGAAGATGGGCGACAGTAGCTCAGTTGGTAGAGCGTCGGCCTTTGGGCCTGAAGGTCGTAGATACAAATCCATCACGAGACATACTTCACAACTCCCGCTGATGACTGCTGTCGTTGTGTCCTTGGGCAAGACACTTACCCCACTTTGCCCAAAGCCCTCGCTGGAAGATAAAGGCTGATGTGGACTCACCACCTGCAGGAGGATCAGTGAGGGGCTGGTGCTATGTGAACTGGGTGCAGCTCTGACTGCCACCCCCCTGACCCAGAAATGGATTAAGGGGAAGGAAATGGATGGATGGATGTCTTGAAGATATGAAGTAGCCAAGCCATTTATGGCTTTGTTTGTGCTCCCTCCTTTTGGTGCCTGTTAAAATCCTTGCTGCTGTATTTTGAACAAGCTGGAAGCTCTTCAAAGAGGTTTTAAAATTGTTACAAAGGCCTTGAGGTGACAAAGGCGTGGATCAGTTTTTCCACGTCACTTTTAGGAAGAATATTCCTGATTTTAGCAATGTACCACAAGTGGATATACGCCGTTTTAGTTGCTTGGTTTATATAAGCCTTAAAGGAGAGTTCTTCATCAAAAACAATTCCAAGATTCCTCACAGTGTTACTGGGCACACGCTTTTGACCAAGTAAGATCACTTCTGTTTTCTCCGGGTTATGCAGTAGAAAGTTAAGAGTCATCCTTTATGAAGGCACTGACACTTTTCAACTGATCCGTCTGATTTGGTTTCATGAACAGATAAAGCTGTGTGTCATCTGCATAGCAGTGGAAGTTAATCCCATGCTTTTTTATTGATGCTACCTGACGGCAGCATATAGACTGTGAAAAGAATCAGTCCAAGTACCGATCCCTGAGGCACACAAAGCCCACTCTAGAATAGGGCGACAAATTTTGATTCACATTGACAAAGTGATACAGATCCAATAGATAGGATTTAAACCAGCCAAGGGCTGTTCCTCTGAGTGATGTCGCACTCCAGCCTCCGCAGTAGAATGCTGTGGTCTATTGTATCAAATGCAGCGCTAAGGTCCAATAGGACCAACACTGACACTTGTTCATCATCAGCAGCTAGTAGTAAGTCATTTGTGACTTTAACTATAACCGTTTCAGTGCTATGATGAGCTCTGAATCCTGATTGAAAGACTTCAAACATATTATTATCCTGCAGCAAAGATGTTCAGCTATAAGCTTTTCCAGGATTTTGGATTTAAAAGTGAGGTTCGGGATCGCTGGGATTGCTAACTTTGGTTTGATAGATTTTATTTGACCTTATTAAAAGATCTGAAATCATACCAGAACACGCTCTCTTCTTCTTCATAGAAAGCACAATGCATACTTGTAAGAAAGAACCCTGTGAGACCCTTTGGGCTGATTGGCCGAGAAATGAATTGTGTGACAAAACTGAGACAGAAATACATGTGTGTGATAACTAGTGATTGAATCAAACCATTTTGAGAACAGTGATAAGGATCTCCTCAAGTTACATTTGTGGTTGATTATTAGGGACTTCAGCTTTAATCATCATCTAACTACTTGTTCTGGGACAAAGTAAACTCCCTCAGATTTCCCCAAATAACGTTGACATCTCTGTAAAAGGTTCGCAGAGAGCTCTCCTGGCCACTCTTTCATGCCGTCAACAGGTTTATTTTCAGCATTGTGTTTGTTTTGATGCTGGTGAACTGTAAATACATCTTTAAAAAATGAAAAAGCAACAGTGTTTGGACCGGACTTGGCACGAGCCGCCTCTGAGCCGCAGCGGTGGCTCGTCTCCCATGCCCCTGTAGCTGCCCTGGCCCCGGCCTCCGCTGAGAAGGTGGTTGTGAACACTTTCTCTCAGCGGGACTCCCTGTTGTGGATGCAGTTGTGTCCCACTCAGGAACAAATGCTGAAGGAACACAAACACACCCTTCCCTGTTGGAAACATTGGGACATTTCATGGGAATTTCCACCGGGAGATAACTACCATTTTGTTTCAGTTGGTCTGGCTCTTGAAACTGAAGTTGAAACTGAAATGACAAGTACAATAGTAGCATCATCACTATGAACATTTAACCTCAGGGATTAATAAGCTTGCACTTGAATGTATTACATATTTATCTACAGATGTTTACAAACAAGTACATATTTCTTGCACTAGAGTTAGCGTTTTTTTTTATATTTATTAAGGTAAATTTAAATACACACAAGATGACAAACCCATAACATAATTACAGTATTTTGTAAATGTATGAAATATAAACAAACAGAAAACATGGTCTTTATATCTAGACTACGGTGTTGTTTATAAGTGTCACCTTCCTCCTCCTCCTCTTCCATCTCTTCAGGGGCATGACTTTGCTCTTGTTCATTAAGTTGGTGAGGTCTCTTTATATTCATACTGTTACTGGCCATGCTCTACAGTAATTATAATGTTGTTAATAATAATAATAATAATAATGCATTTGGTTTTCTACAGAACTTTCACAGACTCTCAAAGACGCTACACAGCATTATTTATTTGTTGTGGTGGTGACAAACATCTACTGTAGCCACAGCTGCCCTGAGGAAAACTAACAGAAGCGAGGCAACCAGTCTGTGCCCCATCGACCCCTCCCACCACCACTGACCATTCACACACACACCAGACTCAGGCCATGTGGTTGAAGTATCTGTTTACACGGAGACGCTGTGACAGTAAGACAATGTTCACATGGCGTCGGTGTTTCACGGAAGTGAAAACTCAAGCTATGAAATACGGCCTTTAGGGTGGAACAATGCTGCAGCAGATGGTTTTATAGCAGCCATTCTCTCTGGCTGTGATGACCTCTCCACTTCACCCCTATACGTTTGAATAGGCACAGTAGCTGAGAACTAACATAAACAAAAATGGCGGCAGATCAACTTAGATTACTGCAAATGGCTAATAAAAAAATGAATCTGAATCTGATTAGACTTTGTCTCTTGACAGAGAAATTTGTCTTGGACATACAATGGGAGCAAGAACATAATACAGGACAATAACATTGTCTATGCTCCGTGTACCTTCAGGGCCAGACTTGCCGTGTAGATGCTTTGCAAGTCAAATCCGGAGTGGGGTCGTTTTTGCGAATTACTTGGTTGTGGCATCAGGTGTTCCTAGAGCTCTCCCATCTCCGTACACACCAGAAAAAAAGGCTGTTTACGCAAGGAAATAGTCACTTTTCAATTGCACTCACCTGAAACAACAGTAGAAGATGTAAAAGATATTATGCTAGGTGTTGTAATACAAGACACCCTTCCACTTCTCTGCTGAATTCTCTCTTTCCCCATCTGGAGGAACTAAGTGAGTGACCATAGAACGGGTGACCTTGACCAACAGTGTGTGTGTGATTTGTTTCTTTTGACTAAATTGAACAAACCCCAAATATGTCACATATGTTTTTTGGGCAAATATAGTGTCTTCTCCTCGTTCTAAAATGACCACTTTTACAAAACAATTGACCCGTGTGTGCGTCCGTGCATGTGTGCATACAGAGTGCTGTTAAGAGCTTTCACCAATGCCCTGTTGGTCTTCATTACTTCCTGTATTCACAGGTCCCAGAGCTCCTCATCCTCCACATACTTTTATCTGATTTAATGTGTGAGTCAGCAACATCCAAACTCTGGTTGTTGCACTTAGGTTTTACTATAAACTTGTATTTATTGTCAGACTGAAAATGCAAGTACCAAAATATTCAGTTTAATTATTAAACCAATGTTAGACTTGTAGTCTATTTTGTTGACAGGGACATTGCGCAATTAATGTATCGTTCAGACCAGAATCAACAACTTTGTAAAGTCCACGAGATGACTGCTGTTGTGATTTATGTTTATAAAACAATAAATGGAACAGAATTGTTGATTATTTTATAATTCAGATGTAGCTCTTTTTTGTGTCTTTATATCCTTGTCCTGTACTATTTTCATTATAATATGTAAAGTTTGATTGTAATTGACTTTGGGGGTGTGGTAGCCTGGTCGTAGCCTAAGGTCTGGAGGCGCTCCATTGAGCGTCGTTTACAGATAGGAGGGGTTAACTTCTTTTGCAGATTGAAACGATTGGATCTGAGTTTACCGTGACGTATGTAATGCGCCCGAGTGTGTTGTTAGCATTTAGCCTAGCCATCTCCTTTGCTGCTAACGGAGCCCGTGGGGAGTAGCGCCACAATCTTTTCTAGTGATTACATTTGTTAAACATTACCCTTACTCCGGCTTCAATTTCTTGATAGAACCAGACCGGATTACTTTACTATCGCATTTTTTGCCATTACCAAACCACAACCTTCCCGTTCGACGCAAACTCTTGACATCACCCACAACTAACTACAACACCCGCCTTCCGCGCTCTCTGAATGGTCGGTCAAAATTCAACCGATTGTATTCGTTAACCCAGGGACCAGACCCAGACGTTACATGCAGTGAAATGATGATTGGACGGAGTGTACGGATGGCTATGGCCAGGCTAGGGGTGCGGTGCTAATAATCTTTTTGCTTCAGCACACTCCTTTAGTGCAGTATTACTGTTCAAATAAATAAATGACATCGATTACAGTGTGTAAAGAGTGGATTTTTGAAAACTTTTCCTAGTTTTGTTTTGATAGATTGGTTATTTTCAGTGTTGCTAATGTTCTGTTGATTGCCTGTACCGCCACCCTAATGGGTTTCACGTGTGTGTGTGTGTGTGTGTTTTTTGTTTACACCCTGAGCTCCTCTCTGCTTGTTGTGGGTCCATTGTGTTTTTGTCCGTGTTTCATCCTGGTTTGAGTTTTTAGTTCTGTGTCCTGGATTTGGTTTTTGTTTATTAAATCTTACATTTTTGCAGTCCTGCATTTTGGGTCCTTCCTCCTTTTCAGAATGGGACAGAAACACTATTTACAATCTATGTAATGACAGCACACTCGATTTTCTTTGAGCCACGTCTTTAGGCTGAGTTTAAGCTGTCCCAGTCAGCTCCAGACACGTCAGGAGGTCCAGGCCCCTCCCTGCTGCTTACCCATTCAAATGATTACTTTATTAGACTGGAGTCAGCTGGAACGCTTTTACATAATGGATAGGGCGGGGACTTTAACGCGTAAACTAAGATTAATTAGTTACACAAACATTAGCGGGCTGAGGAAAACGGTGGAAAAACCAGGCGTGTCTCACTTCCTAAGTAGGCACTAGCTTCACCCAGCTGTATTATAACAGCAGTTACAGAAAAAATTAAAATAAGTAGCTAAAAGTAAGAAAAGTGGGATGAAGAGGGGGAGCGAATCAACTTTGCAGCTCGCATGCGTAATATGTATTACTTCTCACTGTTTTCAGGTCAAATATTTATATGCAATTAATTAGTTACAAACCCGCTAATTCGATTAATTTTTTTAATCGAGTCCAGGCCCTACTAATGGAACAACTTTCACTTTGGTTCAGCGTACACACAATACATTTTAAAAGTAAGAATACATGAAACAGAAAACATATGAAACGGATGGCCCTGTCTTGTGGATCCCGGCTGCTCGACACAAACCCAAAAGTGTGGAACAAATAAAACGTCAAAGAGATTAATTGAATCTGCAAAGTTCCCACACAGAGACAGTGAAGCACCGCACAACAAGACTGTTTTAATAAGAAAAGGAAGACACAAAGCAGCAACACACTTTCATTAATTATACTGTAGACACTGATCGATGGTTATTGAATTTACATCCAAACTGAGAAGGTGTGGTTTGCCGGCTGTGAGAAGGACATGAAAGCAGAATAAGCAGGGGTTGCACACAAAATGCACTGGAGTCATTTATTAAAATATAATGCCACTGATTGTTTCAAAAAACATTAATGGCTAGGACAAAGCAAAGGCGAAGCTGTGGGTGAGAGACAAGGTTAAAGTGGGAAATCAAGAACTTGTCAGACCTCTGGAGCTTGTAGGGTAGGGCCTGGTTAGTACTGTGATACCAGGGGTCACATCGAGGCTGCTGCCAAACTGGAAAAAATGTGTACTGGAAGAAATTAGGAATCACAAAGAGATCCACTGTTTTCATGATGTAGTCAAATGGAACATCTGCAGTTGTAAAGGAGGAGGCCCCAGGGAAAACTCAGGACATGCCAGAGAGAACCTGTCTCCAACAGAAAAAGAAGAAAGTTTATGGATGACTTTCTATTTTGTGATGTGAATTAGATACAAGACTCGGAAACCAGCCCAATTTATTTTTATTGTGATTGTCGTGTCTTCATGGTTCATTGCCTCATCACACTCACCCGCTGAGCTCCACAGCTAACCACCTTTTCAGAAATCACAGATGCAGCATTTAAACCCAGCAGACCCGTCTCAGTCCCAGACCATTCTATCGCAGAAGCTGTGAATTTAAGTCCGTCTTATCAGTATTATGTTCTATCGGTCAATCTGTCTGTTGCCTCCTCCTCTATCGTTGTCCCAGGGCTGGGCGATAAAACGCTAACGATATATATTGCGATAGACACGTGTTCGATATCAATAGAAAACGGGGTTGATAGAATGTTCGATAGTTTAACTTCGCTCCGTTAGAATAAACAGGAAGAAAACACAGGAAGTAAAGCCGAGTCAGAAGCCTGTGTCATTCTGGGGGATGTAGGCAGAGGCTGCTCGACCTATCACAGCTGATCATAGACTGCAAAACATTCTGGGAAATGTAAAAACAACAATCCAAGGGTCTATGGATCGTGTTTCAATGCCGTGTCAATGGTTATTCATGTCGTGCGCGGAATAGCATGTGCGGCGGTAGAGGCAGTGGACACAGACACCCGATGCATTCGGCAAAAGCAGGTCACAGGGACACAAGACCCTCGAAAACTGCCAAAACAGGAGCTTAACCAGGACTAAACCAGGATTACACCAGGACTGACAATGGGGGACACCGTGCTTGTGAACATATTCCTCGAACCTCATTCCCCCGTGACTGTAAACATGGGACGCTAACGTGTGTTAGCTGACACAACAAATGTATTTATTTAGGTTTAAAAGACAAAACAAAAAAACAATCAATATATATTGTTATTGACCGATATGAATTATTTATATTGTGATATACAGTGAAACTTGCGAAAGTATTCACCCCCTTGGCTTTTAACCTATTTTGTTACATTACAGCCATTAGTTAAATGTTTTTTTAATTATTATTTAAATCTTTTTATTGATTTTAAAGTTTTTGTATACAACAATATTACACATAAAAAAACAAAAACAATAGGAGAGCTGTCTGAAGTCAATTATGAAAAAGACAAGTTCCATATATTCAAAACAAACATCACACATCACACATCTTTATCATAGCCGCTAAAGAGATTAAACAACTCTTCCTGAGGCT